GGGGGGGGGGGGGGGGGGCTGCTTGCCCCGCATCTACACCGATGCAGGGCGATGGACATTGGTTGTTCGCGTTGTCTTTTTTCCTCCCTTCCTCCGAGGGAACGCACCTCCGGGTGGCCACCCCAAACAGCGGTGTGCTCCATGGTCTCCAGGTATTCATCTGCCCGGCGGTGGCAGGGGGTGTTTGCGGTGGTGTTTTTTTTTGTTTACGCGGGGCAGGGCGTCAATCGGGTCAGAGAGGGGGGACGCATGCGTGCGAGCGCCGCCATCAACATGGGCAGCCATCAGAGGCAGCGCACCAAAGTCAGTGACCTCGCCGTCCTCATTCATGGCGAAATGCTGGAAGTGGTCGCGGTGCTGGCGCATCCAGTCACAAGCGAAGCGCCGCCAGTGATTCTGTCGACACGGCGTGTGTGTGTGTGTGTGTGTGTGTGTGTGTGTCATGGTCAGCGGTGGGGATGACAGAGGGGAGATGGGCCGAGGATGCCGGTGAGGGTAGGGTAGGGGGGGGGGGGAGAGGGGGCAGGGGAACGTACCGGGCCGCGGAGGGTCTGGCCGAAGACATGGCTGTACTGATGATCCACAGCGTTGAAGAGGCTATCCGGGGGCGCGTGGATGGGAGGTCAGACAAAGGGCCGGGTGTCGGCAGAGGGCCAATGTTTTCCACCGTGGCCGGCGGAAGGCAAGGGAGGATCGTACCAGTGCCCATCGGGACGGATCTGCAGGGGGTGCGATGCGCGCATGCATGAAAATGCACAGAGGCAGGAGCGAGAGAAAGGGCATGAGATGGAGGGGAAGGCATCAGTACCAGCAAGCGCAGGTCAACCGGTTGCAGATGGGATGCGAGGGGAGAGAGAGAAAGAGAGAGAGGAGGCCCAAGAGAAGAGAGGAAGACCAGGGGAAAGCGACTTGACTGGGGCCAACTCACCTCGAAAAGCGAAAGACCAGCCTGTGACAGCAGGGGCAGCAGCAGGGCATCTTCAGCGGCCTTGAGGTCCGGCAGAAGGGCAGCCTCGGCCACGCCCTGCTCATAGCGGGCCTGCTCCTCGGCGGACTTCTTGTCCTGGGAGTCGCATGGGAATGGGGGGCCGGGGAGGGGGCGGGGCCCCGAGAAGAGGGGAGGGTCAGCAAGAAAGAAGGAGGGCGGCCACGCGGCTGCCAGGAAGCTTGTGCCAGGCGTGCTGGGAAAGGGACCGGCGGAGGGGAAAGCCCCGAACGTACGCGGCGCCGCTGCGCACGAGTGGTCGACGACCCGGGCTCCTCGGCGGCCTCGGCCGTGCGCAGGGCCGACATGGCGGCTAGACGCTCCTCCAGGAGGCGCATCTCCTGGGCCTGCTGGTCCAGGAACTCCTTCTCCAGGCGCTGCTCTTCCGAGCGCCAGGCCTTGGCCGCATCCTTGCCCTTGGCAGTGGCCTCCTTCTTCTTCTTCTGCAGATCCATGCGGAACACCCGGGCTTGGGCCCGGTGTGCGGTCTCCAGCTCCCGGCGTGCGGCTTCCGGGTCGGCGACCGCGGCGGCGGGGCTGTCGGCCGCTGGAGCATCAGCGGGAGGGGCATCGGCGGCGGCGGAGCCGGGCCCGGGGTCGGCGGCCTCCGGCGCCTCGAGGGCCGGATCGCCCGATGGGGGGTACATCTCGTCGTAGCTGGCGGCCGAATTCTTGGCGTTACGCTTCCGGCGGGGGGGCATGGTGTGGGTGCGGGGGCGTGTGCGGTTCGAGCAACGGAGGAGGAATGGGAAAGACGGGTACGAGGGGGGGGGGCAAGAGCGGAAAGCTTAGCCGGCCCCCAGGCAGGGGGGTCCCGGGGCGGTCACGCAAAAGCCAGCGAAGGGAGGAGAGGCGCGCGGTCTTCCGGCCCCCGCCTTCCTCCCTTCCACCCCCGGGCCCTGTGAGAGAGCGAGGGGGGGGAGCGTCGACTGTCCTCGGGAGACTCACGTGACACGATTAATGGCGAGCGCCACCGGCCCCGGCGCCCTCGCGCGGTGCCACCCTTTGCCCCGGCATCTGGGGCGGCAAGGGATGGAGGGGGCAGGAGAGAGAGAGAGAGGGACCGAGGGGGAGATCTGAGCCACCGGCCTGGCTCCCGTGTGCCCCCCGGCCTGGGGACCACCTTCCTATTCGCCATTGCGCTTTCCCCCTCCTCCCTTGGCGTTTGTCCCCCTTTCCCCTTGCAGTTTCCCCCTGCCCTCCGCACTGCCTTTGCCCCGCACGGAGGCTTCGATTGTCGGATACGCGTCCGCAGGCCAGCCGAATGAGCGACTTCCGCCGCTTCCAGGGCGGCACATCAGACGATGATGACGGCGGCGGCGGCGGCGGCGGCCGGGGCGGCCGGGGCGGCGGCCGCGGCGCCAGTCGATCGAGCAGCAGCTTCTGGCGGAGCCAGCGTGGGCGTGGTCGCGGCGGGCGCGGCGGCGGGCGCGGCGGCTCGGCGTCCGGCGAGACCTTCCGCGCGGCGGCCCCCGGCGACCGCGACCGTGATGTGCCCGGGGTCATCCGGTCATCGTCCTGGCGCGCGCCGGACCCCTCGGCCAGCGGGGCGCTGGCCCCGGCCTCCACCTACCAAGCCGGTGGCCGGGCCCCCAGCCGGGCCCCTGCCCCCATCACCCCAGGGTCATTCATGTATCGCTTCCAGGTGGCCGTCCCACCGGATCCGCAAGTTTTGTCCATTCTCTGGCCGCTCTACCTGGCCGGGACGCCACGTTCGTGCCC